ATGAACGAACGTTCACACTTGTCGTAGGTCAATGAGGAGGTTATCCAGTTGAAGGAACGGTTGTTGCTGAGCGAAAACTCTAGGGAGGATGAGATCGGCGCCGTTCGTACAGGCTTAACTGCCCTGCAGACTTCGATCACCGCGGATCTGGACACTCTTAAGCTCAAATTTGAGAAGCTCGAGAACGTACGCCTTGTGAAGATTGCGCGGCAGAATGATCACTTGTCAGAGTCGATGGCGTCCATCGTTCGACGAAGCGCAGCAGCTCGATGATCATCCACAAGGCCCTGATGTGGTACCAGGCGTGGCTAGTTTACAGAAGATCAGCTTGGAGGTGAAGAACATGGCCCGTGGAGGCTACGGCAGGAGCTCCAGCGGATCAACATGAACGCTTCTCTGCGCTATGATATGATCTGTGTTCGACCCACGTTGGAGACAGGAAGGTGAATAGAAGAAGGAAGATGTCCACGTCAAGATCTCTGAGCCAAGATGGCCGACGAAAACCATGATGTACGCATCATCTAGTCGAACATACAACTGTGGGATACCCTGTTAGACACCCTGTTGCTGCGCGGAACGGCAAGCGTTCACTACACAACACTAAAGCAACGGCTATAGGTATCAACTCAGGCGCGAACTCTACGTCAAAGCACAGGTACTTTTCAGAGCAGATAAAATTTCTCAAGGGGTTCCCACGGTAAGCCCAACAGAGTTGTGTGAACGGGTCTGTCACCTTCAAATTCGGAGTCCGAACTTCGGGGTCCGGAGAGCTTAAGCGAAATAAGCTTACGTGCTGGATCCAAAATCCAACAGGAACGGAAGATAGAAGTTTACGGAGACGTTCTGGTTCTTTCCACCATTCAGTCACTGAATGGTGCAAAGAATCTTCGAGTCTCGAATAAAGCGATAGACTCGGAAGTCAACGAGAGGCTTTGGGAGAAACGATCGCCCAGCTTTAGCATAAATGAATCGGCGGCTAAAGGAGCTAGCATAAATGGCTGCTAAATCTACCATCGTCCCCAACACGAGAGATTGACTCCAGCGATGACTGACTCGAGAACAAGTAGCTGCCACCAGTACAGCACTACAACTCAGGACAGTGTGGCTATCTGAGACGGCGCCCAAAGAGAGGTGAAATTGGACTGGATGGGAGCTATGCAATAATGTGATCTACAGCACACTAAGCTAAGCTGAGCGTTGCACTGATACTCATGGACGCGAGTGCGTCAGACGGTTATCTGATACTTATGGTACAAAGTGGCAGTAAAGGTAAGTGTAGCGATGATAGTCTAACAGCTGAATAGTACTCAACCTGGCTGTAGCTGTTACATAGCGTATACTATAGTCGTCACTATCTTGTCACTATAGTGCACAGCGAAGACAGGGACACGCTAGCGCCACGGAGGCGCCATTGGCACGCATGTCGAGTAGGCATGATAGCGCTGCGGGATCCCGGATGGAATGTGAAGTATCGGGGTGGCCGTAGAAGACCGAAACAAAGATGTCCTTGTGGGCAGACAAGTCTGAGTGGCTCTGGATTACGGACACTCTCAATACTTGGAACTCGAAGTCTATAATGCGTTTTTGTCTCCCTGTTGTCTCCCAGTCCTCTGTCAATATATGTCGTTATATCAAGTCGTCGGCCCAGTAGTTGCCGAGATCGCTGTGCGGCTTGCGTGGAGCATACATTTACAAATGCCAGTCCTTTTCGTTCTTTCCCAAAGAACCCCGTAGAAGGTTCGTAATGGCGCTTAATTGTTATGAATTGTGGGGTAGGATGCGTGCCGCACGTGCGCACGCAGCGGGTGAGTTGGATAGCTTACTACGCTAAGCAAAGTGTGACCACGGTCGATTTTGGCGGAGCTGAAAAGGGACATACCCGGGTTAAGTTTGCCTTTGCGGTATATTCTTGCTTTGCTCACCGCCTGCGAGTCTCGGCTTGAATTCTATCGAACAACACGTGAAGTCTGCGATTAGTCGATAAGTTATATTCGTTTGTGTTAGCCTTTATATACATTTCTAGGTCTCTGTGCCCTTACCAATGAGCTTCATCCTGGCTTGGTTAATCGCTGTTCAGCTTCTGGCACAAGGCGAAGCCCAAATTCGCCAAGGCAAATATGATTACTACTTGGACGACTCGACCCAATTGACCTTCTTCGTGCGCGTACCAGATACAACCCAGGGTGAACCCAGCGTTCTTTTGTCGGTCTATCCGGGGTCCTCCTATTCTGGTTCCCTCGACCCTCTTATTAGCGGCAGCAGTACCCAGTTCTTCCCATTGAGAAGAAGAACCCGTGGTTCTGACACTTACACCGTCGCCTTGCAAAGTCGACGAGACGTCGAGGGGTTCCTTGCAGGCATACAAGCGTTTCTACCAAGTGCTAGACGCCGCTCTGGGGATCTTACCACTCTGACCGTCGAGGACGATAATGTTATTAGCACTAATTTTCAAGGCCAACGGATTGAGTTCCGTCGGCGCCTTCCTCCGCCGGTAATTCCAGGCATCTTCAAAGAGTCCGGATACAACTTAACTTTCATCGTTGAGAGCAGCGGCACGGTTACAGTAGAAGCTGGGTGTCCCGAGAGTCCTCGGCCTGTCAGCGGCATATTCAGCCTGACTCACGTGGATGGCAACTTGTTCGAGGTTAGAAGCACGACTGCCCGGGAGAATCTACTTCAGAGACTGAGCGAATCTTGTCCAAGCAAACCTGTCAGCGAGATGGACTTCCCGCAAGTAAGTTTTGTACCTGCAGGATCTAGCCCATTAGGTCCTACTATAGTGGTGCAGATTGGAGTTTGGTGGGTGTGGTTTGACAAGGTGGAAGGCTGAGGCTCTCAAGTTCTAATCACCTCCACTAATATTGTCGCACTGCTGGAGGGCCTACTCGCGCAGCGCACTTCTGTATTATCTGGTTTGGATCAAACCGTTTCATTGTCGCAACTTCTCATTGTCGCACCTTTTCATTGTCGAATCTTTTCATTGTCGCACCGTTGCTCAAGATATTCGCAATTGTGCTGTTCTTGACGGTTCGCAATAGACCGTCTGTAAAGGCCCGGGTATGTTGCAACACTGTGTTACTGAGGATTCGCCTAGGACGTCTCACTCGTCTATGGCCCTCATTTTGTCTACACAAGCAAGAATCCTGCCTGAGTGATATTGTTGAGTCCCTTGGATCGAAGGGTAAATACACGGAACCCTGCACAAAGGGGTGTGATCGAATTGAGCAAGCGCGAGTTCTTGCTGCTACTTGGAGTATAAGAACGCGACAGTGGATAGTCAGGAGGAGTAGAAGATAGATCTTGCTTCCCTTCAGCAAAAGGATCGGAACGGACAAACTGTGCCTTTCCAAAGCCGCTGGAATAGTAGTAGGATTCGCATTCCTGACCTTCCGAGCCAAATCAGCTGAATAATCCTTCAACCCAGGAATAAACGCCGTCAAGATGACAGGCTTAACCTGGTCAGCTTGAAGTTCAGGATAAGCTCTTTGAACCAACCGCTTGATGTCATTCTGCTATGTGAGAAGAGACTCACTTCCAGGATAAATGTCCCTCTGATTCAACATCTCGCTACTTCGAGTCTGGGTAGCAACGTTGAGTTTCTTGGCCAAATTGTTCACCAAATGCTCCATAGTGTCTTTCTCCACAGGTAGTACAGTACCAGACATCTAAAGACCGGAAACGGTTGTGCAGGGATAACTTTTATTGAAGAGCAAGTTAGGGGCTGGAATTTTTTTGGTGAGTACCTGATACGTATATACATTGCTTGGGATGGGTCAGCAACCGTTTTACGATGAAGCCGTGAAACTGAAAAAAACACCTGGGAACAACACAGAGCCCAGTGGATTTCTAGTCCACCTCCTCAACCACTCGGACACGCTGTCTTTGCTCTGTGTGCGCCTGGCTAATGGGGACCGAAAGGTGAGAAATGAATTTCCCTCCGTAGGATAACCCGACAGCGGCAGGATTCGAATCTGCGCAAGCTGAGCCTAGTGGACTTCGAGTCCACCTCCTTAACCACTCGGACGCGCTGTCTGGTTTGGAGCCCGCCTGGGTAGTGCCGACCGGGAGGTGAGAAATGAATTTCCCTCCGTAGGATAACCCGACAGCGGCAGGATTCGAATTTGCGCAAGCTGAGCCTAGAGGATTTCGACTCCACCTCCTTAACCACTCGGACACGCTGTCTGGTTTGAAGCTCGCCTGGCTAGTGCGGACGGGGAGGTGAGAAATGAATTTCCCTTCAAAGGATGACCCGACAGCGGCAGGACTCGAACCTGCGCGGGCAGAGCCCAGTGGATTTTTAGTCCACCTCCTTAACCACTCGGACACGCTGTCTGGCTTTGTGTGCGCCTGGCTAGTGCGGACGGGGAGGTGAGAAATGAATTTCCCTCCAAAGGATGGCCCGACAGCGGCAGGATTCGAACCTGCGCTGGCAGAGCCCTGTGGATTTCTAGTCTACCTCCTTAACTACTCGGACACGCTGTCCGGCTTTGTGTGCGCCTGGCTAATGGGGCCCGAAAGGTGAGAAATGAATTTCCCTCCGTAGGATAACCCGACAGCGGCAGGATTCGAACCCGCGCAGGCTGAGCCTAGTGGATTTCGAGTCCACCTCTTTCATCACTCGGACACGCTGTCTGGTTTGGAGCGCGCCTGGCTAATGGGGACCGGAAGGTGAGAAATGAATTTCCCTCCATAGGATAAGCCGACAGCGGCAGGATTCGAACCTGCGCAGGCTGAGCCTAGTGGATTTCGAGTCCACCTACTTAACCACTCGGACACGCTGTCTGGTTTGGAGCCCGCCTGGCTAGTGCGGACCGGGAGGTGAGAAATGAATTTCCCTTCAAAGGATGACCCGACAGCGGCAAGATTCGAACCTGCGCGGGCAGAGCCCAGTGAATTTCTAATTCACCTCCTTAACCACTCGGACACGCTGTCGGGCTTTGTGTGCGCCTGGCTAAAGGGGACCGGAAGGTGCGAAATGAATTTTCCTCCATATGATAACCCGACAGCGGCAGGATTCGACGAGCCGGCGCAGGCTGAGCCTAGAGGATTTCGACTCCACCTCCTTAACCACTCGGACACGCTGTCTGGTTTGAAGCTCGCCTGGCTAGTGCGGACGGGGAGGTGAGAAATGAATTTCCCTTCAAAGGATGACCCGACAGCGGCAGGACTCGAACCTGCGCGGGCAGAGCCCAGTGGATTTCTAGTCCACCTCCTTAACCACTCGGACACGCTGTCTGGCTTCGAGTGCGCCTGGCTAATGGGGACCGGAAGGTGAGAAATGAATCTACCTCCAAAGGATATCCCGACAGCGACCGGATTCGAACCTG